CAGAGTTTGACACCCCTGCTCTAAACCAACAAACCAGCGCAAACCAGGCTGATCAGGCTGAACAGTCTAAGCTGGAATTATATTCAATATACTGATGGTAACTTTGTTTGCAGTTATTAATTTAATTATTAGTCAGAATTCCACATTAATATTTTAGTGTATTTTATGAGACTGAGAATCAATTCATTGGCTACTGTTTTCTCTTCTTTAAGGGTGGTGCCCCCAAGGAACTATTATTTATTTATTTATTTGTTATCTGATGCCAAAATGTATTGATTTTACAATTTGGTCCCCCTTTTAACCATTTTAATTTATAACATCAGTAATGTGGGTGCTTATACCTTCATCTATGACAGGTATGAGTGAAAAGAGAGAGGAGGGATTGATTGCCTCCATTCAGGCTGCTGACAGGTGAGATCTTCGGCAGAATAACAACGAGCAGCACCTTGAGTGTGTGAGTCCAGACATGCCAACAGTAACAGGAAACTTGAGTCTCCCTCCACAGCCTGCCAATATAAAATACATATCAGACTACAGGCTGGGCCAGTGATGTGTGAACCTCAAACAACGCCACAAGTAATTCAGATTTCAAAACAATCCGCCCACAAGCATATAGCCTGTCTGAAAGCAGGTGGAATAATCGAAAAAACAAGTTTTACTTTGTTAAACCTGACCTCATGTTCAATGTCGTTTCTATGGCAATGGGAGACATTTCAGCCTTTTAATCAGAAAGACAACCTTAAAGGCAGAATGAGTAGGATTTTTCCCCAAACAATAAATAATTCCTCTCAATCATAATTTATGACCCACCAGAAGTGTGTGGAGGTGTGGCGGACCCTGCCTGTACTTTGGTCAGTGTATGTGAAGCTCCCAGCCAATGACAGCATGCAGATCCAGATCGCAAGCACTCATCCAAGCAAGGGGGTGTGTCGTGTAGTAATGTGGGTGTGTCCTAGTCTGCAAGACTGATAAGACCCTTTTTGCTGTATTTTGGGCTTAACGCCTCCCAAGACGATTGTGACTAGTGTAAAGAAAATACAAACAAGTCAGAGTTTTTTTCCGTTATACCAATGATAATGGGTTCAGGGTGGTCAAACCTTTCTCCAGCGCTGACACAGCACTAAAACAAAGTGTGGACATGGGTCTGACAACTAGTGATGGGATTTTTCATGAGTACTTGAGAGCTGGATCATACTCAGCCAGCTCAGTGTGGGTTTTTTTCTTTTTTAGGAGGTGGGGGTTGGGAGGTTAATATGCAAAATAATCATTAGGATGACGATGAGGGTAAAATTTGGATCAGATTCAAACAGAGACTTCCCATCAATAGAATTTTCTTTTGCATGTGTGGAATTACTCTATTGCCAGATCTAATGTTAATGATCTGCTTTACAAACATTCAAATTGTTAACATGCAATTCATGCACTTAAGACTTAATATTAGAAAACTTTTTTATTGACACAATAGCGAGAGACCTTTGAGCAAATCAGATAATTATCTTAAAAACATTTCACATGAGATTTTTTAAGAATAGTAAAACAACTTAACGTTACACATAAATAATCCTTATGACCTTATGGTATGATGGCAGTGTTCTGCAGTGCCTGTGCATGGTCAGCGGGCTCCATAGTGGCCCTAAATGCATGCCAATATTTTTGCCCGACAGGTAGTCGGCCATTTTGGATTTTGTGAGTAATTTGAATTTTCTAAACATGTTTCAGGCCTCACAAAATGCACCCATAGTCAAACTGGTAAATAGTTCAATATGATGTCGCAATTGGGCTACGAATTACTTTCAGTCTGCAGACGCATCAAGTACCTTTCAACTATTTGAAAGAAATCTGAAATGTGGGCAAGGCTCCAGAGATCAGGATCCAGGCTAAGAGAATTTATTTCATTTGCATTGCATCACAGAGCAGTCCCAAAGTCTAAACGCAAACTGGTAAGATAAAAAAATAAAATAAAAAAGAAAATCAGCTGAAAAAAAAAAAGAAAAAACAGAATTAAAATCCAACAATGTGCTGATTTACGTTGCCTGAGATAATCATCAGTATTTCAAATTAACAGTCAATAATCAACAGTAAGCTCTCAATAAGGAAACATTTCATATCCAGCCCTGCGTCGAAAGGAATCTGTCAATCATGTCAAAGGACCTCGCTGGTTGGTCGTAAGGCAGAATGTGTCCCCCTCCTCGGATGATGACCTGAAGAGGACAAGTTACAGAATTTAAAACTGGTGTTCACAAAATGCTTTTTCCCGTTGTTTTGAGTCTTGTTAATATCTGCTCACCTGGTAAAACTCTCCCACTTGTCTTACGTAACCTGCCACCTCTGTGTCACTGGGCTGAACCTTCCAGTGGAAGCGAGGGGCAGTTTTGTACTCAGCAGCCCCGGTCCAGTTGACAGTAGGCAGAAACCTCTCAGTCAGTGGGGCTGCTACAATTACATCCAACTGACCACTGTAGATTAATACCTGGGTGTATGTAAAAGTGGATCAAACAGGGAAAACTGTCAGAGAGGGACTTTCTCTTGATGATGATATCGACAAAAATGAAACATTGTGTTTTTTGACTAAATATCTCAAGAACAGTAACATTGGCCAAAGAGGCAGAGGCATTGTTTGCTCATCTGATTTAGTTCAAATATTCAGACATGCTACTGTAATCCCAGACTATTGTCATATCACGACAACAATTATATCAATATATTGCATCTCCAACAAAATACAACTAAAAGTGGATAATCCTACACTCCTTACCCTGTAGTTGTCCATAAGCACTCCCAGCCACGGTTTGATGCTCTTCATGACATCCTGCAGAAGGTGCTTCTCCACCTTAGAGCCGTCGTTGAATGTCAGGTTCCCCACATGGATGGCAAGACGCACCACAGGCAGAGTCACAAACTGGGAGAAGTACTCCTGGTCTTCAGGCTCCTGTGGTGGACAAAAAAAAAAAAATGTACTGGGTTGTGCAAAGACTGTTTTCAGTTCAAAACTGGTTTATTTGTATATATAAGAAGTCACAAGGGCAGCTTTGAGCTCTGCCAGTGTTTCTAAGTACCTGACATGTCATGTAGTTGAAGTAGTTGGTGCAGCCTGTAGCATTTTGGAAAAAGGAGGGATATGGTTCCACGTCACCATTCAGCAAGCTGTCAAACACCTGAAGTCAGAGGTTAAAACAACACGGTCAACTAAATCTGTTCTTTGATTTTATTCACAGTTCTAATTTTTGTTTCAGGAAGGTGTGATACTTAAATGGCATATATGGCATTCATTCATTAAATGATTTGAGTGTAAATCTAGACAAATTATAAATAATACTGATTGTATTTTCACAGAGTTAAGCAATAAGCAGCATCTCTCACCTGAAAAGCCTCCACCCACTTTTGCTGGTGGATGAGTTTAACCCCTAAGTCTGTCTGCTGGACGACATACTCCTTCTGGAGCTCATCTATCATACCAGTTTGGTACATGAACTCACCATAACCACCCAGCATCTGAAATGGAAACAGTACAATATTAAACTCTTAATTTCTCCATTGACATATACTGTAGATTGCTATACCATGAGGGATCAAGCAGAAGATAACTTTTTTAAAGAGTACAAACATGAACAAATAGAACAAAAGGGGTTATTAAGCAACTTTCTGGTTAATACAAGATATATAACCAATTTTATTAATTGAAAGACACGATTCCTTGAGGCTTGTCAGATACGCACCATTTCTGGATCACAGAGCCCATCACCAATAGCCATCCCCTTGAGGTTAATCTTCACTTTGGCAGTGGGGTTGTTTTTATGGATGTAGTAAGAAATGGCAGGAACATACTTTCCTGCATAAGACTGTGGACAGAGGAGGTTTACATGGATTAGGATTATATTTTAAATTACGTATCCAAAACATTTATTTGCAAAGAGAAGAACTATACCTCCCCAGTTGCATAGAACTCATTGGCCTGATACTCAGGAAATATCTGGAAGAACTGTGTTAAAGCACTATTAAGGGAAGAGATGGGGATAATGAAAGAGTTAGTAACAACCAAACATCAGCATAACACTTCAGATTTAAAAACATTACCACAATAGCACAACTATTTGATATGTAAAAATAAAGTGGAGTCATGGCGTCCTGAGCAGAGAATGTTGTGACACTTCTTTTGCCTGTGTTGCTATACCAGGCTCTCTCATGTTAGTGTATGAGACACTCTGTTTGCTGTTTGTAGCTACAG